GGCGAGGGTGGGGGTGGGGGAGGGGGCTGCGAGGGGTCGGATGGGGAGGGCGAACCGGATGGGAGGGGGGGGCTTGTTGAATGTGCAACCGGCAGGTTTTGCGGGTTTGTGCGGTGCGTGTTTGCGCGAAGGCCTTTCGCGGCCCTCGAGAGAGAGAGAGGCGGCCCCGGAGCATCCGGGACTTGCGGTTAAGGGGAAGTTTGTCCTATAGCCTGTTACCCCCCCCTGCTCCCCCCGGGGTCTTTGTGTACCCCAAAATTGGCCTTCTTTTACAAGGGGGGGGTGTCGCGTGCTGGGGAGGGGGCCCCCCCTTGACTGGAGCCCTAGCGAAGGGCCACCGGATTGGGTGGGTGGGCTGTGGGTGCCAAGAGGAAGGGGGTCAGGGGAGGCCCCCGGAGGCCTTTGGGGGTGCCATGAGGAGGGGGGAAGCACAGCCCCCCCCCAAGGATTGTGGGGTGAACTGTGCGGGAGAAATGATTGGCAGGTCAGGGTCTGGCCACACACCCCACCCCCGCAAGGGTTCCCAGGCGAGGAAGGAAGGGGTGGGTTAGGGAGATCCTTCTTGCCAGACCAGACCCACTGGCCTCTTGGGGGCCCAACCTGCCGGGGCACGGGGCCCTTGGCTGCTGCCAATCCTCCCCAGCGTTGGCCCATGGGGGGGGCTTCCAAGGGCCAGGTGGGGCCCGGTCACCGTGACTCGGCTAGAGGCTCACCTCCGGAGAGGCGGAGCCTTCTTGGCTCCCCGTCAGTGCCCCCTCCCCCTATTGCAAAGGGGCCAGAGGAAGACTGAGGCCGACTGGATCGGTCCACAAGGCAGCTGCCGGGGAAGGGGGAGCCACGTGGATTCCTGCTTCCGGTTGGGGGACCCCGAAAAGGGACCCCCGGGAAGGGTCAGGGGGCAGGGGAAGGGGAACGGGGAGAGAGCGACTGGGAAGACTGGAAGAGCGGGCCAGGGAGGAGAGCTGCAGGGGGACCCTCAGCCCGGCGTCCGCTCACCCTGGGGGGCCGGAGACCCCCCTTCCCGTGGGCGGAGGGGAGGGGGATCCCTGGGGAGAGAGAGGCAGCGAGTGGGGTCCGGACGGAAACCCTGCGGGCGGAGAAGGGGTGACACATAACGACGGCTCTCCTTGCTCAGACCCGGGAGGGGGCACTGCCAGGGCGGAGGTGCCCCTGGGGAGGGGGGGTTCAGTCCCGGCCAGCCCCCCCCCCACCCCCCCGGGTGGCCCCCCCCCGGGCGCCCCTCCCGGCCTTTTCCTTCCCACCCCCCCCCCCCCAAAAACTCCAGCCCCAGCCCATAATACCAAGGGCCCTGGAAAGGAGCTTGACAACTGTTGCTATAGGGACCATCTCTCCGCCCCCCCCTCTTTCCCTCTCTCTCCCTTCCCCCCCCCCCCCCCCTCCCCCCCCGTCCTCCCCCCCCCCCCCCTCCCCCCCCCCCCCTTCCCCCTCCCCCTCCCTCAGGGTTTAAAAAAAGAAATTTTTGTCTTCCCGACGAAGTTGGCTTAAAAGGTTTCCATGGAAACCAAACCCCCCCCTCCCTCCCAAGAGGGAGAGGAAGGCAAAGGCGCCCTCTGCCTGAAGGGAGGGACGCCCCCTCCCCTTGGCCGCGGGCCAGCAGCGCCCCCTGCCGGATCCGGCGAGGGAGGGAGGGGAGGGGAGGGGAAGGGAGGAGGGGGAAGCGACCCCGCCTGACCCGGCCGGCCTTTAAAGCCCGAGCCCCGAGGCTTCATTCCTCGCCGCCGCCCAGGCGGGGTGGAGCCAGGCCCCGCCGCGGCGGACGAGGTGGACGAGGAAGAGGAGGAGGAGGAGGAAGAGGAGGAAGAAAGCCGCCTGCCCTCCCTGCCCGGCCGGCCGGACGGAGCCGCGGGCCCCCGCGCCCTTCTGCCCGGAGGGACGCAGCGGGGCTTCCTCCTCCTCCTCCTCCTCTTCCTCCTCCCGGGATGCTTCCCCGGGAAACGCCGGCCTGCCTCCCCGCCGGCCCCGCGCTCTGCTGCCCCAGGAGATGCTGCCCCCGCCGCCCCCGGCCCAAAGGTAGAGCCCGTCGGGTGCGGGGCTGGCTGGGTGGGTGGGGGGCTCCTCCCGCCGCCGCCATCGCCGCCATCCCCCCTCCCGCCCCGCTGATGACAGCAGCCGCGCCGTCGCCTAGCAACGGCTGCCATGCCGGGCGGGCGGCCGGGCGGGCGAGCGAGGCACGAGCGCGAAAGCAGCCGCGCGGGGAACCGCAGCTCCGACGGCTGCAGCGCCGGGCGGGGGCCGCCGCCCTGCGGGCGCCGCGTGGAGCCCGAGGCTCCGGGCGTCCCCGCCCGCCCGCTTCCCCCACCCGCCCCCGTCCGGCCATGGGACGCGCCCCGTAGCCGCGGCCGGCGGGGGGGCCGCTCCCGGCGCCGGCAGGTAAGGGCCGCCCGCGGGGGGATCGGGGATCGGGGGTGGGGGAGGCCGGCCGGCCGGCCTGCGGGGGCGAGCGGGGCTCCCGGAGATCCGGGGACGCGCGTGGGCAGCGCCGCCTTCCCGCTCCCCGCCGGGCCGGCCGGGCCGGCGAAGGTGCGTGGGTGTCGCGGGCGGGCGGGCGGGCGCGCTTCCCGGGTGGGTGGGTGGGTGGGAAACGCTGCTTCCGGGCCCGCCCGAGCAGGCCCGACTCGGCTCTCTCGGGGTGCCCCCCCCACCCCCCACGCGGGCCCCGCGCTCTTCGCTCCGGGCCGGGGAAGCGGAGGCGGCGGCGGCGGAGGAGGCGGCGGAGGCGGCCGATTCCCGCTCGGAAAGCCGGCGCTGCGCCCTCCCCTTGCTGGGCCCGCCGGGCTTGGCAGCTCCGGCCCGGGCAGCGCCCGGTGGGGGCGGCGCCGGTGTGTCCCCGTCCCGTTCCTCCCCCCCCCCGCCCCCGTCGCTTGAAAGGGCCGCTGGCACGTGGGGGTGGGGGGGGGTCTCGGCCTCCGGTCCGGCCAGGCAGTCAGCTGGGCTCGCGGGGGTGGGGGTGGGGCGGCTGCCTTTGGGGGGGGGGGGAGGGCTGGGGGCTCTGCCCAGAGAAAGTCCCCCCCATCCCCGTTGCTGCAGTTCGCGAGGCTGCTGTGTGTGTGTGTGTGGAGGGGGGGTCGAAGCGAGCAATAGGACTGCAGGCGGACACCCGCTGGCCGGGTGGGCCAGGGCCCTGATCCCCTCTCGGCTCCCTTGCTTGCCTCTTCTGGGGCTCCTTCCAGCTGACTAGTCCGGGCAGGGGCTGCAAAGGGAGGGTGGAGGGGTGGGGGGGTAAAGGAGCAGGGGGCTGCCCTCCCCTCCTGGGTGGGGAGACGGGCCCAGTGAGAAGGGGGCTCCCTGGGAGGGGGGGGGGGGTCTGGGCCGTTGGGGGGGGCGCGGAGGGCTGGCGTAGCAGAGCGGCAGGCAGGCAGGCGGGCACGACAGATGGCGGCAGAGCCCGGTGGGTGGCTCTGCGTTGTGCCAGAACGCGGGGGGGGGCTCTCTTTGCGGATCCTGGCAGGCGGTGCTGCTCAAGGGCCACAGAAGGGCCCCTTGCTGTTCATGGGGTGGGGGTGGGGGGGTGACAAAGGTCCAGGCAAGGAGGGTTGGCCCAGGCCTGGCATCCAGCCAGCCCCGTTGGAAGGCCGCTCTGGCCCCTGGGTTGCCTGTGCCCCCCTCCCTCCCTCCCTCCCCCCCTGAGACCCAACGGGGCCTGACTAGCCCTGGGGGGACAGCCAACCTCCAAGGGGGCTCCTCAGAGGGAGGGGCCTAGGTGCCCCATGGCCTTCCCCTCCCCCCACGGAGGAGCAGCAGAACCAGCATGGGGGCCTCCTGCTTCCGCAGTGGGGCCGCTGGACCCCCAGGCCTCCCCCACTTCCAGCCACCCCTCCGGTCGGTCTGGGCTTCCGGGCGGGGGGGGGGCTGCGTCTGTCGGAGGAGGGGGGGCTGCTCGTGAGCTGCTTTTGGGGTTGGTCGGCCTTTAAACGGAAAACCTGGTTTGGCTCGGGGCAAAAAAAAAAGTGTTTTCCAAAAAAACCGTTGTGAAAAGCACCCACGTTCACACCCTTTGGGGAGCAAGGGGGGAATCTCCCCGTCTGCCCATTGCAAGGGGCTCTTTTCCATTGTTGGTATGTGGGGGGGGGCTGCTCCCACTGGGACTTGGGGGGGTCCCCGATCCACAGCCAGAGAGAACTCCATTCCGATCACAAACGTGTGTGTGTGTGTGTGTGTGTGTGTGTGTGTGTGTGTGCGTGCGTGTCTCGGGAGGTCCTGGCTGGGGCTGTGGGCAGGGCTCCCCTTTCCTGCCCGGGGTGGGGTGGGGGTCAGCTGAGGGCTGGGCGGGCTGGCTCCTCTGGGCAGGAGGGGGGGACAGGGAGCCTTTTGTCCTGTGGGGGGGGGGATAGAAGTCATCATCGGCCAGCGGTCGCTTCCCTCCCCCCCCCGAATCCCTGGGCCTTTGCTTCCCCCCTCCCCCGCGAAGCCGCCCTTCCGTGTGGGGGTGCCCCTTCAGGCAGACCCTGCCCCCCTCTCTCCCCCTGCAGAATCGCACGCCAGCCGCTCCCGCAGGAAGAGCGTCCCAGGCGGCAAACAGTACAGCATCAACATGGACGCCCCGCCGGCACCCCCCTTCCGTTCCTCGGTGAGTGACGAGACCCTCCTTCCCTTTTTCCTTCAGAGGGGGGGAAGGGTCAGCGGATCAGAGGCCAGCTGAGCCATGGGGTCCTCTCCCTTTGAGGCCATCTAGTCCTGCCCCTTCTGCCGGGAGCGCCCTCTACCTGCTAAACAGGCTGACTTGCTTCCCGTAACCGGCCTGAGGGGTGGGGTGGGGGGGTGAGGACTGAGGACTGAGGACCGCGAGCAGGGATGCCGTCTGCCCTCTCCATGACCCCATCCGCTCGCCCCGCTGAAGCCAGTCCCGTCCCCCTCGTGGAGGGGCAGAGGGAGGAGGCAGAAGGGGGAGCTGCCCCCACAGGTGGGGGGTGCCCCTCTGTGGAAGAGGGGCAGTGGCCTTTGGGCAGGGAGGTGCCATCTGGAGGGGGAGCTTGGGGGGGTTCAGCCGGTCAGCCTCTAAGCCGGGGCCTGCAAAGGGCGGGTGGGCTGTCTTCCCCCTCCTGCCCCCCCCAGAAAAAGCGGTTCGGTGTGGAGGTGTGTGTTTGGGGGCCTATCTTGGATCCAGGGGGGCTGCTGGCCCAAAGTCAGGAAGGTTCCCACTTCTGTCCGGCCGAGCAAAGCTGTGGAGAGCAGGGAAAGGAGGCCACCAGGAGAGGGTCTTTCTCTGGAGGGTCCCAGTTGGCCTCTGGGCTCCCCAGCTAGGGCACCGGTGGGGACCTCCGGCTGCCGGGCCTTGCTAGAGGGGAGGCCGAGCTTTGGGGGGCCATGGCTGAGCCAGGCGCCTCCTCCTTCTCCTCCTCGCAGGGAGGGAGGGAGGGGGCTGGTGGTCGCTCCCCCCCCAGGCCCCAGAGGCCCCCCCCAGCGGGTGTCTTCAGGGCCCCGCTGGCCCCCCTCCCTCCCAGGGTCCAGGGGCTGCCCGGAGGGGACCCTGAGCCGGGGTTCAACCTGACCACCCCCCTCCCCGCTCCGCCTGCCGCAGCAACAGGGTTTCCTCAGCCGCCGCCTGAAGAGCTCCATCAAGCGCACGAAGAGCCAGCCCAAGCTGGACCGCACCAGCAGCTTCCGCCAGATGCTGCCCCGCTTCCGGAGTGCTGACCATGACAGGTGGGACCCCTCCCCACCCCTGCCCCCCGGGGGTGGAAGGGAGGGAGGCTCCAGGGCTGACCGGACCCCCCTCCCTCCCTCTCTCGCCCCCCAAAGTCCCCCAATGCCCAGCCCTCCCCGCTGCAAGGCCTGGGAGCCCTGGCTATTTTTAGCGCCTGCCTTCCTCCCCCCCCTCCAGCTGACGGCAGCCCCGACACGCAGGGGCTGCCTCTGCTTACGTGGCTGGGCTAAATATATCCCGGGGGGGGGGGCGGCAGCTCCGAGCAGAAACGTCGCGGGGAAGCGGAGGGGGGGAAGCAGCCGCACACAGACTCCGCCGGCTCCCTCCAAGAAGGGTCTCCGGTGCTCGGCTGGCCGGGCGAAGGGGAGACCCCCGTGGCCTCCCCCCCCACCGTGGGCCAGAGGGGTTTTCTGAGACCCTCCCTCCTCCCTCCCCTGCTGAGGCCGCAGAGATGCCTCTCTGGGGTGCAGAGGCCAGGTAACCTCCAAAGAGCGGGGGCTCAGCTGAAGCCCCCCCCCTTCCTCCCTGGGTCCTGCCCCACCCTCCAGCCACAGCCTTCCCGCTGACAGGGGGCTCCCCCTTCTCCACCACCCCCCCCACAGGGCCCGCCTGATGCAGAGCTTCAAGGAGTCGCATTCGCACGAGTCCCTGCTGAGCCCCAGCAGCGCCGCTGAAGCCCTGGAGCTCAACCTGGACGAGGATTCCCTCATCAAGCCGGTGCACAGCAGCATCCTGGGCCAGGAGTTCTGCTTCGAGGTGGGGGCACCTGGGCCCTCTCGGGTGGGTGGGCATAGGGGGCTCCTGGGCATGCGCAGAATGCAGCTCACTCCCGCGCCCCCCTGCCCCCCTTCCTGCCCAGGTGACCACGTCTTCGGGCACCAAGTGCTTCGCCTGCCGCTCGGCTGCCGAGAGAGACAAGTGGATCGAGAACCTGCAGAGAGCCGTCAAGCCCAACAAGGTAACAGGGCCCCCCCCAGACACCCCCAGCCCCCCTTGGGGTTTGGGGTGACCCCACTGTCCCCCGAGTGCTTTCCTCCTCCCCACCCCGCCGAGAGGCTTTTAGGAAGAGCCCCCTGTGCCTTTCGCTTCTCTGGCTATCCAGGGGCTGTTTTGGGGGACCCCGAAGCAGGGAGGGGTCAGCTCCCCTCGGAGGCTTGGGCAGGGGGGAGGGGGTGTCTCGCTTCCTTTCTCGAGAGGAGGGTGGAAGCCCCTCCGACCAGTTGGGCCAGTCTAGGCGTTTCTGGCCTGAATTGCTGCTCCGGAAGAGGCTCCGACCCCTCTCGGCTCCTCCTGAACCCCCCCACCCCCAAATTGACTGAAAGCCCCCCCCTCTTCCTGTGGTGGCCGCTGCTGTCGGCCATGTTGGTGTGGTCAGCCGTGGGTCAGGGCGCTTTCCTTGTCCCCTCCACCATCGTTGAAGAGAACTTCCAAAGCCAGCAGATGTTCTCACCCCCCCCCTGGCCCCCAATCCCCCCCCCCAAAGGGCCGGGGAGGGGCCCCCCCCCCCCCCCCCTTTGGAGCTCTCGGCCTGAAGGTCTCCAGCCCCACCCCTGCCCCTGACCTGGGCCGCTTGGGTGGTTGGGCCTCAGCCTTGCAAGCCCCATGGGGCTGAGCCGCCTCCTCCCCGCTCCTGGTTCGAGGAAGACCCGCTGTTCCCTGCCAGCAGGAAGGATGGCCCAGTGGGAGGGGCCCCTGCGTCTTTCGCCCAGCAGATCCATGGGGGGGGGGAACCCCTCCCTGTTGCCACCCTCCCCTTGCAGGTTTCTTGAGGGAGGGGCTAAAGGGGAGGGCCTGCCTCACTGCTGTTTCCTGTTTTGCTCACCCAGATGGGACCGCAGAGACTTGGCATCTCCCTCCCCCTTCACTCGGAGGGAGGCTGCTGGCTCTCCTTCTCTCTGGCGGGGGAGGGCTGGTGATGGGGGTGGGGAATCTCCGTTTGAGTCGCCGGCTGCCCCTTCCTTGTCCTCGTAGCCCCTGGGATCGTGGTCCTCCAGGATGAGTTATTCCGCATTGCGAAGTCCGGAACGAAACATCTGGATTTCCAATGGAAGAATACGGTGCGGGCCCGGAGCAGCTGGGTTGGCACCCAGGCCCGGGGTCTGGGGGGGGGGAGTTCACTCCGCCCTCCCTGCAGGCCGTTCCGAAGGGCGGAGGCTGAACCTTCAGAAGAACTCCAGACCAGCTTCTCCAGGGTCCCCCGAGTGGCTCTTCTTAAACCGGGGAAGTGGGTGACTGGCTCTGCTCCAGCTGGACTAGTGGGGGGAGGGGCTTCCCTCCATCCCAAGGCAGCCTGGGAAAGTAGCAAAAGAGGGGGAGACCCAGCTACTCCCCCCCGCCCAGAGAAAGGAGGGGATGCTGCAAGAATCAGGCGTGGGAGCTTGGAGGGTGGGCATTAGCGGGCCTGGGGTGTGGGGGGATTTTGCCCCTTCCTCAGCGGCCCAGAGGGGGAAGGAGGCCGTGGAGATCCTGACAAGACTGCCGACAACTACAATATCCACCTGGCAGCTGGCCCGGGGACGTGGATCCGCACATCCTCCTGCCCTCTCTCTCTCTCTGGGGCTTTGCAAAACGTTTCCCAGGCCGTGGCTGAAACCAGTAAGGGAGAGAGGATTTCCCCCGCGGATCGTACCTGGCGGCGCCCCCCTTGAGTGCCTCATTCTTCGTCTTCGTCTTCCGTTCAGCAATGGCCGTTGGAGACGCCCAAACGGTTTCCCAAGAACAGAAGGAAGGGCACTTTCTAAGGGATAAGTTTGCCACTAACGACTTCGGTCGATTCGGTTTGCTGGAATCAAGACGAAACTACTTCCACAGGGATCCCTCCGTCCACTAAGCTGGCAAGAGGAAAAAGGCCCTTCCGGCCGGAGGCCTTACGGAGGAAGCCATTCTGCCCTCTGCTGGTCGAGGTGCTGCCGAACCGTTGGGCTGCTTGTCCTCCTAGCTGTAGAAGTTGGGACTGACGGAGTGTTTTATTTCCCCAGATCGTGGCTTGTGGGGGAATACATGTTGTCTCATCTCCTGTGCTGACTAACGGTAGCCGTACAACTCAGCCAGCAAGCGACTGAGCTCCCAAAACTCCAGATATTCTGCCCAATCAGAGACAGGAGGCAGGGCACTGCCAGCCTGTGGGAACCGGTAGAAACGCTGCTCCGTTGATGCGCCCGTGGTGGGGCCCTACGGGCCAGAAGCCACACTGGACCATCTCTCAGCCCTGGATTTCCGGGGGAGGGGCGGGACACCCCTTCTCTTGTCAACCCCCAGCTGGTGGGAACCGAACCTCTCGAAGGAAGCCTGTCGGTCTTGCGTTGAGTGCTGTCACTGCGGGTTGAACGGTGTTCCGTTTGGGGTCCGTTCTGCGTGAGGCCGGGAAACAGATTACTCGGCAGTCGGTTTACCATCTCGTGGAACGGGGGGAGGGGAGGCAGGGAAGAAGGCGAGAAGCAGGGAGGGGACTCAGTTTTTGTTGATGGTTGCGCCACCGGGACGTTTGAAGAACTATTTGAAGGGCTGCCACGCAGAAGAGGAGGGGGGGGTCCCCCTACCCTCCAAAGTCCCAGAAGGCAGGAGAAGCAGTAATGGACAGAAACCAACCAAAGAAGGAAGCAGCCTCGAACTTAAGGAGACCTTTCCCGACAGCGGGGACCGTTGTGCAGGAGGTCATTCCGTTTATTTCCGGGTCATCGTAGCCAAGAAGGCCAACACCCCCAACATTGCCTTGGCTAAGACAGAGGAGGCAGCAATTGAGAAGATGTTGCTGAAAAACTGTTGGATGGAGGAGGAAGGTGGCCTTTTTTGGGCTGGCCAGCTGTTGTGGCCCGACAAGCCGCCAGCAGAGCTGGCGGCAGACTCGGACAGTGAGGAGGTTGGGGGAGGAACGTGGGCCAGTCCTGGAGTCTGGGGAAGGCTCGGATGAGGGCTCTGCATCGGAGGCAGAGATGGGGGCAGGTCCGTCCGACAGTTATCAGCTGCCTTCGGAGTCGGAGATCAGTGGGGCAGAAGAACAGCTGGAGCCTGTTCCCAGCGTGCACATGCACAGAGCTGCCAGGAGAAGGGAACAGTTAAGGAACAAGAGTCGACTTGGGAGTAAAACCACAGGTGGATGGTGAATGGCCCCTCCCAGAGGGAATAAAGAGGAGCAAAAGGGTGTGTGTGTGATGTTTGCAGGAGACAATTAGTTCATTTAATTAGGGTGAAGATTTGTTCGTGACTCCTCGGAAAGTATTTTTTTTTTTTGTACAGCGTTCCGCAACTGTTGAAGCCTGATAAGGTCTGTGGTCGTAAACCACTCTTGAAAGACTGTTTGCCAGGACTTTGCTGGATGCGAATGATTTTTTTGTTGTTGTTTTTAGTTGCAAAGTCGCGTCCGACCCATCGCAACCCCATAGGAATTCAGATTAGCCTAATAAAAAGGGATTTAATCAGGGCCCGGAATCTGCTTCGTGATTTTGTGAAGCCCAGGTCAGAACACCAGCAAAGGGGATGGGAAGGAAAGCCGGAGGGAAATGAGGAGGACCTAAGAGAGACAGGGGATTCTGGGTATTTAATGAAGTTTCCGAAGACCAGGAGGAAAGTTAAAGAAAGGAAGAGGGTTAAGGATGCCAGGATGATCCCCAGGCATTTCTCAGAAGACAGGAAGATTGCAATTTGGAGGATACGTCGACCTCTTTCTTTTCTTTTTTGTAAAAGTTTTATTGGGTTTTAACAAAACATAACAAATAAAACATCTTTTTTTTTTGAGAACAGCATGATTCCAGGTGTTATCACATCTCCATACGGATACAATCTCAAATACATATTCATCTTATATATTCAATTTCATATCTTAGTACTATTTTTTCAATTTTCAATTTCTCAATATTTTTCCCTTACTTTCCCTATTCTTCTTTTATAATTTATCTCATTTCTATAATTATTCTTTCTAATTCAATTACATTTCTCTTCCTAGATTTCTATATCTTTCTATTCATGATACTTATACTTTCGTCTGCCCTGTTTACAATTTCATATATTTTCTTCCATCATCATCCCAAAAGGGAGGGGGGGGGAATTTCCCTCCCCTTCCAGGCCTTGAAAAGCAATTAGAGTGTAACACCTTTGTATCTTATAATTATTATCATATAAAATCTCATGAAACATTTAATTTCTACATTATGGAATTATAACATTCAATTTCTAATATAATATAACTCTCATCAACTGAATTCCGCTTGGTACTTTCCCTTGGGAATACATACAAAACTCTAAAAAAAAAGTAGAATATATACATATGTATCTACGAAAACAACTAGACGAACACAATACAGAAGCCTGATGATGGCAGATGAGAATTCTGCTGAAACGTTGCTACAATTTAAAAAGCACAACTATAATGACGTGGGAAAATACCCGAACAAAGCTGAATACCGTACATATAAATACCCGCGAAAACTTAAGAAAACAAACAAACATATAAAATAAGCAAAATAATTATTCAAATTCATCCTAACTGGTATTGATTTCGTTGTAAAATTTTCACATTTCTTTTCAATTGTATTTTATCAATCTTTAAAAACAAAACATTTCCATTCCTCCTTATTTCAACTTATTAACAAACATACCATTACATAACAAAACAGTTTTATCTTGTAATTTAATCAACTATTTCATTTCTAACTCATTGCTATATTCTACTATAACAACACTATGTTTTTTACCCTTGCAGAATTCTCACTTTTAGTTTGATTTAACCATTATCTCTATGTCTTCTCAATAAGCTAATGCCTTTGATCCTTGTACGTTTCCCTGTTTCTTTATTTTCAGCTTTTGTCCCTTATAACTTCTTTTCCTCTCTATCTTCCCCACTTTATCTCACCCCTTTTTTGACCCCCCTCTCTAACTCTCCCTTCTGTAATTCTCTTTTCTGCTTCTCCTTAATGTTGTGCTTCTTTTTCAAACTATTCTTTTTTTAGTTGTTCCCTTTAATCTTAAGCTTTAAACTCCTTTTTCCCCTTTTACCCCACATTGCATTATTTGATCATTAAGATTGGCTGCTTCTTCTTCTTCTTCTTCTTCTCCTTCTCCTTCTCCTTCTCCTTCTCCTTCTTCTAGCACTTCTTGTTTTTATGGTTCAAAATCTCCATTTCTAAAAATTGAATATGAAGCCAAAAGATCCTCTTCTCTCTTGTGCGTCTTCTTTCTGTTTTTTAAGTTCCATTTTTAATTCCTCAAGGAGTGATAGCATTTTAAGCACTTTTAAACAACCACCCGATTGACTAATAAAAGATCCAACACCCCAACTTTTAAAAATCACCGATTAATCCAAAGCTCTTCTTGTTTTTTCTACTTTTCCTTTCCAGGGGTTCTGTTACCTTTTAATAAAGTCAGTTACAATGTATCTTTTGGAAGTATTTTTCAAAGCTTAACAGTGGTTAATCCCTTTTATTTCCAGGTGACACTCCATTATTCTTTCCAAGTTCCACCCTTTTTCCTCCACTCTTCTTTTAAGGGCTTTAGAGTATCCAGAAAGTCTTTATTTTCCTTTCGACACTTTAATTTCAGCTTAAGATGGCCTATTAGAGTCAGAGTAAATTATCACAAATTTCTTACTTAGATTTCTTTTTTTGTAACATTCAAAGCCAATTGTAACTGTCAATATGAAAATAGAAAAAAGGATTTTTTCCCTCCTTTTCTCCTCTGCCGCTTTAAATCTTTTAGGAATAACACTCTTAATACTTTTAAATCCAGGGCACCTTGCTTAGATGTTATCTCTGCTTATCCCGGTCTGTCCTGCAATTCCCTTTTGTCTTCCTCCCACTCATTCTTGTCCGGTCGGGTTCTTTTTGGAGGTGGCCATTTCTGACCACCACTGCAAGCACCTTCGGGAAAGGGAGTTTAGACCAGCCGAGGAGGAGAGATATGGCTCCCCTCTACTCAGCTAGGAGTCTCCCCCCTCTTCGCCACCTCTACGGGGTGGCTTCAGCCCCAAATCCAAAGGATCAGGGAGCTCCGGTGATGAGCACGGATTGAAACCACGCGCGATCGTGGATTTTGGTCTGTCGCCGAAGAAGCCCAAACCGGAAGTCCCCGATAAATTGACCTCTTTCGTTGTTGGGATATAGGATTGATTTGGAAGTTTAAAAAAAAAATGAAAATGAAGGAAGCCATTTCTGTCCTATTACCACACGATGCACTTCAGTTGTGTCTATATTTAGTCTCTGCTTTCGTGTATCTCACGGGGGCTCTATTCTGTCTGGTTGGTTGGTTGACCAAGTTGGGGATGGATGGATGCTTCTGTATATGGTGCCAAGAGACTGGATAGCACACGATGATATTCAGAGAAGAAAGCACGCGTCTTTTGGGGAGCCAGCTACTCTGATCAAGAGCAAGCCAGTCTCTCTTGGACTTCAGCAGAACATTTGAAGCTTCCACAAGATCCTAGCAGAGAAGATGAGAAAACAGGGCTGGATGTTAACCATTAGGCGGACCTGGTGCTGGATGAACCTTCGCACCCAAGGAAGAACGACTGGGGTTTCTGGCCAAGTTGCGGGGAGCAGAGGAATGTTGACTGCTGCGCCCCCCCCAGCTGTCTTCTGGGCTCTCTGCCAGTCCGTAATTTCATAAGTTAGGATGGGCTGTTAGAAAATGTGGCTGCTGAAGGTGTAGAGGGTGCTGGCCTGGGCAGAGTAACACACTCCGTGGAAGAATATCACAATTCAGGAGGATTTGGACAAGCTGGAACAAGGGGCAGCAACTCACCAGAGGAATTCCAACGGGGACAAAGGAAAAACCACGGACACGAGGGCAAGTTGGGGTGAGAAGCAGGCGGGTATCTGCAGGAAGAACGTGGGAAGACCACAAGTGGCGCATGCACCAGGAGCAGGATGCAGTGGTGAACAAGCCAGGGCCACCCTTGGCTGCGCCAGCAGAAGCCAAAGGAAGAAACCGAGGAACCCCAGTTGCCTCTTGGAAAAGTACCTTCGGGGCAGCCGTGACCTGGGTGACGGAGAAGCTCTGCAGACAACAGGAGTCAAAAGGCGGTTACTCTTAAGATGCGGCTGCTCCTCCCCCTCCGGGTGGATTAGGCCACACCTGGAATGCGGGGCCCAGTTCCAGGCATGGTGTGCTTCACTGGCAAGCTGGGTGGGGGTCCCGAGAGCAGCCAGCAACTTGCCGGGAAACCTTTGGCATGCCCAGCCGGAAGTCCCTCGGGCGTGTCCTCCCTGAGGACGAGGAGACGGGAGACACAACAGCCGTCTTTGAGTAGCTGCCAGTAGAAGATGAGGTGGGGGGAGGGGTTTTCCCACAAAACGGGGGTGGGGGGAAGCTCTGCATTTAATTTACAAGGAAATAGGTTGCCCTCCTCCCCAAACACCAGGAGAGGATGGGTAATAACAGGGCGTTGGCCCTCAACAGCACACAGGTGGTTTTGCTGGAGGCGGTTGAGTAGGAAATGGACTCTGATAGCATGGGCAAGACAGCGATCTGGATAGTCTCTTAAGGCTCCTTGTCTGGAGATTTTTCTGGCTCTTGGGCTGCAGCTGCTTCTGGGTCCTTTTCTGTCCAGCCTCCTGCCTGTTCCTCCCTTGTACTATTTTTTAGCCCACCTCATAGTGGAGATTCTTCCTGCTGCTTATGAGATGGAGGATATGGGCTCTCCCCACATAGCAATAAATCAATTACAAACTCAAAGCAGAGGAATAAAAGTTAACAAAACTACAACAGCTTATCCTCCTATCCGTTAACAAGCTGGAGGAAGTGGAAGGGGGGTGCTTCCTGGTGCACCATAGAGAGCCCATCTCTTGGGCAGAGGGCCCCAGTCCTGCACCGGAGGGACGGGGTGCCTAGGTGTGCACAGCAGGGCGAGGCCAGACTGGGAGGGGGCCTTGGTTTGGGGGAGCTGAGGGGGGGGGGGGGGGGGCTTATACTGGGCTGGAGATGTCTGGACCTCTTGTGGGCGTGGGGAGAGGGAGGGGCTCCGGAGGGAAGGAGAGCTCTCCTGCTTGCCTGTGTCACCTGGCTGGAGTAGGGATCTCCAACCTCGGCCCCTTTAAGACATGTGGACTTCAACTCCCACAATTCCCCAGCCAGCTGTGCTGGTCAGTGTATTGGTTGTGCTGGCTGGGGTGTTCTGGGAGTTGAAGTCCACACGTCTTAAAGGGGCCAAGGTTGGAGACCGCCCTATTTTGGAGCACCAGCCCAGCACCCCCTCCTCCTTCCTCCTGCTCTTTGCGCAGGACAACAGCCGGCGGGTGGACAATGTGCTGAAGCTCTGGATCATTGAGGCCCGGGACCTGCCCCCCAAGAAACGCTACTACTGCGAGCTGTGCCTGGACGACATGCTCTACGCGCGCACCACCAGCAAGATGCGCACGGACAACGTCTTTTGGGGGGAGCACTTTGAGTTCAACAACCTGCCAGCCGTGCGCACCATCCGGCTGCACCTCTACAAGGACACGGACAAGAAGCGTAAGAAGGACAAGAGCAACTATGTGGGCATGGTCAGCATCCCCATTGCCAGCGTCACCGGGCGCCATTTCGCAGAGCAGTGGTACCCGCTCAGCCAGCCCAGCGCCAGCAAGAGCAAGGCCGGCTGCCCGGCCATCCGGGTCAAGAGCCGCTTCCAGGCCATGAGCATCTTGCCCATGGAGCTCTACAAGGAATTCGCCGAGTACGTCACCAACAACTACCGCATGCTGTGCGCTGTGCTGGAGCCCGTCCTGAGCGTCAAGAGCAAGGAGGAGGTGGCCTGCGCCCTGGTGCACATCCTCCAGAGCACTGGCAAGGCCAAGGTACGCTCTGGGAGTGGGGCGGGTTAGGCGAGCAGGGCCCCGTAGGGAAGGGGCCCGGGAGCCCACGGGGCCAAGCATGGCTCCTGCAGCTTCTCTTCCGCCCCTTCCTGGCAGGACTTCCTGTCCGACATGGCCATGACGGAAGTGGACCGCTTCATGGACCGCGAACACCTCATTTTCCGGGAGAACACGCTGGCCACCAAAGCCATAGAGGAGTATCTCAAGCTGATTGGACAAAAATACCTCAAGGATGCAATTGGTAGGGGCACTGGAGGAGGGAGGATGCTTGGGGGGGAGCAGCCCACAACCCTGGGTGGAGAGGGAGGGGTAATCACAGGCATTTGGGTTAGATTTTGTTCTTTTTCTGGCTCTGCCTGCTTGGCTTCCTCTGGGGAAAGTCCAGAGAGGGAGGCCTTGCAGCTCCCCTGAACATGGAGTGGGGGGTCCTCCCTAGTAACCTGCCCCTCTGTGGGGATGAGCCAGTGGGTGCCTGAGCGGGGAGCGGCTGGTTCCATTCCCTGCTCTGCCCTCCCTCCTAGGTGAGTTCATCCGAGCTTTGTACGAGTCTGAGGAGAACTGCGAGGTGGACCCCATGAAGTGCTCGGCCTCCACTTTGGCCGACCACCAGGCCAACCTCCGCATGTGCTGCGAACTGGCCCTCTGCAAAGTGGTCAACTCCCACTGGTCAGTGCAAGGCTGCCCCCTTCCCCTACATGTCGGGCTGAGGGGAGGGAAGTGGAGAGGGGCGGTCATTTTGGGAGGGGCAACTTGGGGGTGTGGGGCAGCCTTGTAGTGGGGGCAGGCAGTGATCCTGTGTCCCCTCCCCCAGCGTGTTCCCCCGGGAGCTGAAGGAGGTCTTTGCATCGTGGCGGCTGCGCTGTGCCGAGAGGGGCCGGGAAGACATTGCCGACCGCCTCATCAGCGCCTCCCTCTTCCTGCGTTTCCTGTGTCCAGCCGTCATGTCCCCCAGCCTCTTCGGCCTGCTTCAGGAGTACCCGGACGAGCAGACGTCCCGCACCCTCACACTCATCGCCAAGGTCATCCAGAACCTGGCCAACTTCACCAAGTGAGTGTGGAGGAGGCCAGGAGGCAGTGAGCGCCAGGGGTGTGTGGAAACCCGCTGGGCCAGATACACCCAGGGTGCTGGGAGTGAGTTTCCCACCATCCACCCCGTGCCGAGCTCCAGGGCAGAGCTCTGTAGGAGAGCCCCTCCCTGCAGTGTGGCCAGGTTCCCTCTGTCTCTGGCTTCGGCCAAGAACCTAGATTTTGTGCCCCTGGCCCTGTGGGGAGGGGTCCCTCGAGGCCCAGAAAGCAGCCAGGTCCCTCTGAAAGGCGAGTGCAAGGAGAGAACCGACGGAGGCGGAGAAGGGAGACCGAGAGGGGGGACGCAGCTCCCTTCTTGAAATGCCCGCAAGGGTGAAGTAGGCAACGGTCGTTCCACTCCCTGTCCTGGGGATGGGCTTGGATCAGGATTATGGGGAGGTGGACCCCAGCTGAAGGTGTGGGCAGATGGAGTAGGGCAGAGGAAGCGAGCGTCCAGATAGATGGTGGAAACAGAAGTGAAACGGATGGCCTCAGGGGACCCTGGTCGCTCCAGCTGGGAGAAGGGTGGTCTCTGCATCTCACAAGGGGGAAAGAGTGAAGGGGGAGGGGTACAGTCCATTCAAGCACCCCCAAATACGCAGTTTGGGGTAGCATTTCTTTCCAAATACCCCTGGCCCTTCTTGCTCGGTGCGCCGCTTGCGGACTGCTAACCTTGGTGGCAAATGCCGGTTCCCCCTGGAGGGGCTGGAGCGGGTGGCAGGCGGGCACTGCACAGGGCTGCTGCTGTGCTTTGGGTTTCGGGGTGTGCTGGGCTTTCCGGGGAGGGCCGGGTGGGCAAATGGAAGGGCCAAACTGGAGCCACGCGGCGAGCGACGAACAACGAGGTTCTGGCGGCAGGTTTGGCAGCAAGGAGGAGTACATGGCGTTCATGAACGAGTTCCTGGAGCTGGAGTGGGCCAGCATGCAGCAGTTCCTCTACGAGATCTCCAACCTGGACACCCTCACGAACAGCAGCAGCTTCGAGGGCTACATTGATCTCGGCCGGGAGCTCTCCACTCTGCATGCTCTGCTCTGGGAGGTCCTGCCCCAGCTCAGCAAGGTGCCTGCCGGGAGGTGGGGCGGGGGGGAGGGCAGAGGGCAGAGGGGGAGGGCTGCGCACGCCTGCTTGCCCGTGGTGGGGTTGAGTGCCTGTCCGCTGCTTCCTGCCCGCGTAGGAAGCCCTGATCAAGCTGGGCCCGCTGCCCCGTCTGCTGAACGAAATCAGCCTCGCTCTCAGGAACCCCCACATCCAGCGGCAGCCCAGCCACCAGGGCGAGCGGCTGCAAGCCAAGCCAGTCATCCTCCGCGGGCCCTCGGCCGACGTGCAGTCCTCGTACATGATGCGGGACCTCAACAGGTTAGGCCTGGGATGGGTGGGGCGTGGGGGAGGGCGGGCACTGGAGGACAGGAAACGGGTGGACATCCAGCTCTGGGCCCCACCGGGATGGGCTCTGGTCTGGGCCCCAGCCGGATCCCCTCGCGAGTAATGCCAAGAGCCCGCAGAGGACGGCTTCTCCAAGGCGCCTACGGGAGGTTTGGGGTGTGAAGATGCCCTGGAGGGCTTCCCGCTTGGGCTGACCCTGGATTTCTCCCCACAGCTCAGTTGACATGCAGCCCTACATGATGCGAGCCATGAACAGGTAAGGGCTGCCGGGTGAGGCCCACGGGAGGCTGGGGTCCCACATCGAAGTTCCCTTCCCTCTGGGCATACGGCTCTGTCCCTCTGCCCTCATGCCCCTTGTTCCTTGGCTATCCTGCACAGGCTGGCAGAGGTGGTGGGGAGCCCCCTGGGGTTGGGCTGCCACCCCAACCCTGGCAGCTCCCCACCCGCTCTCTCCTGCCCTTACCACTTCTCCGCGCTGCTTCCCTCCGCAGTTCCATCGACATGACGCGCTTGCCCTCCCCGACCAAGGAGAAGGGCTCCAAAGAGCTGTTCTTCGTGCCGCGGCCGCCCCTGGCCCGCTCCTCCCCCGCCTACTGCACCAGCAGCTCGGACATCACCGAACCAGACCAAAAGGTGCTGAGCGTCAACAAGAGCGTCTCCATGCTGGACCTGCAGGACAGCCGCATGAACAGCGTCTCCAACCTGCACAGCGTAGGCGACTTGCTCAACAGCAGCCAGGCCTCCATCACCGCCGGCCTGGGTCTGCGGCCCAGCCGGCTCTCCCAGGGCAGTGGCTCCAGCATCGCGGCCGGCCTGCGGCTGAGCCAGATGGGGGTCACCACCGACGGGGGCGGCCCCTCCTCCGCGCAGCAGCTCCGCATCCCGCTCTCCTTCCAGAACCCCCTCTTCCACATGGCCTCTGACGGGCCGGCCGGCGGCCCGCTGCATGCCTCCCACCCACACCGGCCGGCGGAGGGCAACCCTGCCGATACCTTTGCCCCCTTCCATGGCTACAGCAAGAGCGAGGACCTCTCGACCAGCAAGCACATCATCCACAGCCACAGCTACAGTGACGAGTTCACCCGCCAAGGCTCGGAGTTCACCAAGCGCCAGCTGTCCCTGCAGGAGAACCTCCAGAACATGCTGTCCCCGCCCCAGATCACCATCGGCCCCCAGCCCCAGCGCTTGGCCCCCGCCCCTCAGCCACAGCCCCCCCTGCAGCGGGGCAAGTCCCAGCAGCTGACGGTTTCTGCGGCTCAGAAACCTCGGCCCTCCAGCGGGAACCTGCTGCAGCCCGAGCCCACCTACGCCCCCACCCACGCCCGCCAGCAGTCGGTCACCAAGGAGGCGCCTTCCGCGCTCAAGCCATCCATCACCAAGCAGGTGAGTGACCCGGGGAGCAGCTGGCGGCGGCTGGAGCCCAAATAGCGCACCGGGCTTGTGGCTCCTTCGACGGGCTCCTGACCGTAGGGCCTGTAGGCAGGAAGGCAACAGTTAATACTGGGCACACACGTTTCTGAGCAGTGAGATTTAGGGATCAGCTGAGCAACTTGCAATTTGGCCAGTTGAGTTTGTGGAGAGAGGAGGAATGACTGAAACACGGAGGTTTCAAAAAATACATTCAGGGCAACTCAGCTCTTTTTCTCTTACATCTCCCTCCATCTAGGAGAGGAGGGGTCCCTTTTGGAGGAGGGGGGAGCTGCCTCTTTTGCCCAAAGGACCCTTCCAGGAGCCAGGAGGCCCCCTTAGTTCCCAGGGAGTGCAGGTCTTCCTCCCAGAGGCCTTCCAGGGAAGCCAGGGGCTCACCCCACAGCCCCCCTCCTTGTGCTGGGAAGTGAGGCTACCTAACTCCCAGGTAGGACCGTAGCCGCCGCTGCCCCAAGGACCCACAGAGGCTTCCCTTCCAAGAGCGGGCTCGGGGCTCGCTTGGATCAGCTTTGAATTATACAGAAGAAGGGGACCCGTTTATTTGCCCTCCCCCACCTTTTAGGATTTGGGTCTCTCCTTCATAAAGAGGAGGAGGAAGGTGTCCCACCTAGGCCTTTTCTCAAAGCCCCCACTCTGGCAAGCAGGAGGCCGTTGTACGGTTTGTTTCACCGCAAGGGTTTGTATCTTAACGTCAAAGGACCTGAACCAGCTCAGCTTGGCTAGTCTGCCGCTCTCCTCCCCCGCAAACTGGGAGGGCTTCCTGGGGGGGGGGTGAGGGTGTCGCTCTTCTCTCTGCAAGGAGGGCAGTCTGTGTGTGTGTTTGTGTGTAGAGGGTGAAGCTCCTGCAGAGTTGCCACTGCTGTGGGATGGGGCCTCTTAGCAGGCAGCCTCCGCAAGCAGGTTTCTCTGTGGAGCAGCTGATCTGGAGCCTGCAGAACACGGAGGACTTCAGAGGGACAGGACAGCAGTGGAGATAAACGGGAACAGCGGACGCAGCTCAGGGGACCCGAAAGTCCCTGGTGGGCTCTGGAGCAGTGACCCCCCAACCTTTATTGTGCCGCGGCCCGGTACCGGCATCACAAAATGATCCGCGGCCCGGTACCGGCATCAGCACGCATGACAAGGCAAGGCGAGCCGAGCGACCGGCCAGCCAGCCATCCCCCGCCATCCACGCACCTTAGTTTCGCTCAGAAGCCCCCCCCCCTTTTGATGAAACTAAGGCGCGGGGATTCCTTCAGGACCCAAACGCCGCTTTCCAACCGGAAAAGCTCACCCGGAAGCACTTTCTCGTCAAACAAGATGGCGGCACCCAGCAAACCGGCGGCCCGGTAGGGAATGTTCCACGGACCGGGACCGGTCTGCGGCCCGGTGGTTGGGGACCCCTGCTCTGGAGAACATGCAGGCGGCTGCGCTGCATGCTGGAGGAAGTTCCGGGGGCTCCAAAGGGGCGGTCCCACCTGGAGCGTATCGTGGTATACTCTGATGACATGACCGCGAGTGCCAGCTTTTGATCCAGGAACGATTCCCCCAGTGGGCAGGATTGGAGAGTCCAAGAGCCCCCCCCCCGATTGCCCTCCATTTAGGGCTAAGATGGGGATGGGCTGTCTCTTGAACCCACAGCCCCTCTGTCCAGGAGCGAGTCTCATTCGGACCCTGGCATTGATGTCATTGGTATCGCGATGGGTGGTCTCCTCTGCGTGTTCTCGCAGCACCTTCTCTGATGTGCTTGAAGTCGGCCTCCTTTCCCCCAAAGGCAGCAACTGGAGCCACTCCCTGAACCACCGGAAGACTTTGACCGATACCCAGCTGCCCTGGAGCAGGTGTGATGGATCTTGCAATGTGTGTGGGGGACCCACCTGGATGTCCTCTTGGAATCCCAGAATCCTTTGGGGATTCCGTGATCCTCAGGAGTCGAGACAAGAGTGGGAGGGTCACTCTCAGCTCCCCGCAGGTCCCAGCTTGTTGGTCCTATGGCAACATTTGCCCGACGTCCCTCAAAACGTGCCAGGACAGAGAGGGGGTCCTTATTTTTGACTTCTCCCTCTTAGTCTAGGGTGTCCTTCTTCTTTTTCTTCTGTCACCCCAGCCCTTAAAAGCGCAAAAACAGCAAAAGTGTTCAGGTGTGGAGAAGGAACGAAAGAGGCCCAGAAGAGGGAAGGGTAGGGCGTCTTCCGCAGGTCGGATGCTGTGCTTGGCCATAGGATGGGCGTCTGGTTCCTACACACTCCCACAAAAGAGACCGCTGTTGGGGTCAGCCAGAGAAGTCAGCCGCTACTTCTGACAGCCTGTAGTACTGGGGAGGGGCCCTCTGGAAAAAGACCCGAATTCATCGATAGCCTCACACTGCAATGAATAAGGAGGACTTTGCAATTCAATTATGCAGCTACTGTGATTGTTGGCTGAGCCGAGACAAAAACAGCCGGAGAAATGATTGAAAACGGGACCCTTGTCAGTCAGTACAAGTGCTGATTTAACAGAATAACAGAGTTGGAAGGGACCTTGGGGATCTTCTAGTCCAACCTGAAGCAAGAGACCTTCTACCATTCTAGATAAGCAGCTGTCCAGTCTCTTCTTAAAAGCCTCCAGAGATGGAGCCCCCACAACCGTTGACGGGAAGACATTCCCTTGGTTTATTCTCACGGTCTGGAAATTTCTCCTTAGTTCTAAGTTGCTTCTCTCCTTGATGAGTTTCCATCCATTGTTTCTTGTCCTGCCTTCGGGTGCTTCGGGGAATAGCCTGACTCCCTCTTCTTTGGGGCAGCCCCTGAGATATTGGAACACTGCTGTCGTGTCACCCCTAGTCCTTCTCTTGGTTAGACTAGACATACCCAGTTCCTGCCACCGTCATTCTTCATATGTTTTAGCTTCCAGGCCCCTAATCCTCTTCGTCGTTCTTCTCTGCACTCTTCAGAGTGTCGACATCTTTTTTATAGTGCGGTCATAACAAGGCTTTATGAAGCGGTATCGACACTTCACGTGATCTTGAGTGTGTCCCTTTATGAAAGCAGCCTAGGATTGCGTTGGCTTTTCGGGCTGCCGCCGCAACACTCCTGGCTTGTATTTGATGGCCCAGGAGGATAGGCCAAGATTCGTCTCACCATGACTGCTCTTCTGTCCTCTTGATTCGCTGGCTGAATCTAAAGACAGACAGACAACTCTACAAATTCTTCCGTACAAAGTTTCTTTTATTGGATTATATCAGGTATCCTCAAGTAACTCATGGTTATGTCGAGATGCATCTAATGTCCAATTCTTTGCATAGTTGAAATCATAGTGTAAAAGGACTGTTCTCTTCATCCCATAGCGATGGATTGGAGGGAACCAGCAAAGGGCCTCCCCCAACCCAACCAAGGGTCAACTCAGTGACCAATCAGGAGTACAGATTTACCCTTAAGGGGACAGCTCCCAATTCTAACTTAACTAGTTCAATTCCCATTATTATATACTGGTTGGACAGCATAATTGCTATCAAGTGAGGTTTCACCTAATCTGCAGCTATACGGTTGGTTTTCCTTGCTTAAGTGTAAAACTGTTACCCTTGGCTCATCAGATACTTGGGAGTGGAGGACACAAGGAAACAACAATCAATGACAGGCATCGACACCCACATCAACAACTAAAAGCTACATATGACCAGGCATCATAGGAAACACAATGTGTAGAACAGCCCAGTGCACATATTCTGGAGAGAGCGAGAGAACTTGGAAGAATAAACCTTTGTCCCCCGTGACTTGATCCTGCAAAGCCTCTCTCTGCCCCCTCTCCCCACCCCATGATGTGGGGTAGCAGCCTTTCTCTCAGTGTGGATGGAGAAGGCGCTCAGGCAGGGGTGGGATTCTACCGGTTCACACCTATTCGCTAGAACCGGTTATTAACAGTCTAAGCAGTTCGGAGAACCAGTTGTTAGAAGAAGTTACTGGACTAATCCTGTAAGGAAAACAGGAAGGAAACATTCTGGTGTTGCTTACAGAAACTGCCTCTCCGTTAACCCTTATTACATTCTTGGCAGGACTAGACTTCCTGTCTCAGGAACTTCTCTGGAATTTTTTCCCCCCTCCTTTGCTGGAACTTTGCTTGTGTGGAGTGACCATTCAAAGTTACAATGGCACTGAAAAAAGTGACTTATGACCACTTTTCACACGTACGACTGTTGCAGCATCCCCACAGTCACGAGAGGCCAGGCGAGGAGATGCATGCCTCGATGTGAGAGATATTGAGTTGGCCACGCCCAGCCAATAACATGACCACCAAGCCATGTCCACCCGGTCACATGACCACCAAGCTAGGCCCACCACCTAAGCCATGCCCACAGAACTGGTTGTTAAAAGTTTTGACTCTCACCCCTGCGCTCAGGGCAGAAGGACAGGTGTGTTGTGTCAGAGAGCCGCAGTGTTGATGTTTCATTGTCACAGGACAGATTTTGCTGCAGGCGATCGCCATGACCACGACTGCCGCGCTGCCAAACGGAGTGGCGATCCTGCTTCAGAGGACACGGGAGTCCGCATGAATGGTTCAGGAAGCAACCACCGGTGGGTTCTTGCCCTCTTTGTCCCCCAGGGTCATTGTGAGCCCAGCCAGCTAGAGGCACCCAGTGTCCAGGGACAGGCACGGCTGCAGTCCACTCCTTTCAAAAGGACCAGGGGACCCCTGCCTGGTTCCCCACCCGCCTTTTGGATTGGCACAGTGACTGGTGGACTGCCTTGTGCTGCGAAAGCCAAGGCTGGGAGTGGAGGAGACCCACAAGCAGGAGGGCATGGCCTGGTCTTCCTTCCGGCCTCCACCTGAGCACCTCCGCCGTGATTCCTCTGCTAGTTAGGAAACGCCTGGACCATCCCAGAGGGCGATGCTCCGGTGTAGAGAAACATTGGCTGGCAGCAAAACCAGCAAATAAGAATGGTTTGAACTTCGGCAACCACCTTCCAGGCCACTTGGGGAATCGGTCAAAGCGGCCTAGT